TGATAATGTTGGGACTTCGAATTGGCTTCGTGAAATTCTTTCTGATAGCTATTGATAGGTGATTCAGTGAATATATTGCTGATAACATAATGAAGCGAATCGAAAGAGAGGTACGAAATGTTTTATTTCAGCATGCTGAAATGAATGTGGAAGTAGCAGATGCACGTAAGAGACGTTCACTGATTTCTGACTTTGCGACTGCACCCGCACCACCTGTCTTCGCAGGTAATCTTTGGACGGATGGTGTTCATTCGATATTCGAAAGATTTATTTTTTAGATGTTTCCGTTGGAAAGGGATCTCAAATATTTAAAACTAGAATGTGAGATCTATGAAACAATTATGAAATATGCGATGCATTCAGAGGGAATCAATTAATGAATTCATTTGAAGCACCGATTCGGTCGAATTCATCAGTTGGTGATGTGGTTTTGGAGGCGCAACGAATGAATCCAATGCGAGAGTTGATTTCATCGGCGAGTGAAGAGAGTATTGAGAAGAAGAAAAACTCAATAACGGATCGATTGGAGGTGGTCGAAAAAGAGAAGAAACATTTAGACATACAACTGACGAACATTCAGCGCAAAAAGGTTCGCCTTAAATTCATGGAAATTCTTTGTTTTTTTTTTGAAAATGAAAAACACATGCATTCTTTGTGTAATTGAGTAATTTTTTTGTATTGAGTAATTTGTAATTTTCATTTTTTGTAGTTATCATCACACTTTTGTTGGTGATAGTAATGATTTTCGAACAGTTTACAAGGAGAAATTGCGAGCGATTCGGCATTGCTGTTCTCTGAAAAAAGATTAATGGAATGATTTGCATGTGTGATTGTCAGGTTTCGTTGACACTAACAATGAGAATTACGCGCAAATTTCGTTGAATTTTAACTAATGCATAGGTGGTGGTGGTGAATAGGTGTTGAACTGTGATGTTAATATTGAAATGATGCGTTTTCATGTGATTGGTTCATATCATTGATCATCATTTAGTGAGTGCCGTTTCATTTTCATAAATCATTTTTTGAATAATGTAATTGAACAGGAGCAACACGACAGTGAACTGGCAAAATTGTCGAAATTGGGTGATGAAAAGGAAGCCGAGCAAGACAGCGAAGAGTTTGCTGACGAAAGTACAATGAGTTTGGTGGAGAGGATCTATGCTGAGAATCGTAAAAAAGCCGCCGAATCGCATGCGAATGCGAAAAATACACCTGGTTTACCTCCATTATTAGCCGGAAGTGTGGTGAGTTGTTGTAAATTGAGATGAATTTGATGAATGAACGAATGAAGTTTTGTGTGGTTTCATTATTTATTATTTCTGCTGAGTAAATAAGTATTGGTGTTTGGAAATTGTTTCGCTTAAGTTGGTGATTTTTCGTGAATGTGTATGAAGATTATATGGTCTTGTGCACGGATGGTAGCAACTCATTACGCACGCAGATTTTGACAGTGGCAAAAACTTTTAGCCATTGTATCAACATCCATCGGATTGTCCGTTGGTGCAAGAAACAATGGAACGATACAAAAAAGTGAAACCTTTATTGGTGGAAATGTTAATTGAAAAAGGCAAAAAAGAGGCATTCGCGCAAAAGTATCAAACTGAAAAATATAATGTGATGTATGCGGAATGGTTAGCAAAAGACGAGCGATATTGTAAAAGTCAGAAGAAGATGTTCGTTTTTTTCATTTCATTTCATTACATTTGCATTTTCCCCAACTTGTAGTTTTTTTAAAGAAGAATATTTCAATTGATTGAAGAAAATTCGGGTCGTCGAAAAAGAATTCTATTCATTAAGAAGAGAATGCAATGAATTCAATATTTCATGGCAATGAAACTGGATAATATTGTGTTTCGGAGTTGTTCGAAAAGTATTGTCGTTGTGGAATTTGTTCGTTATCATTGTGAATTTTACTATTTCAAATGAATTATAAATATTGAATGGAATTGTTTGAAAATTATTTGTGAGCGATGCAATGAATAATGATGTTGTTTGAAGGGCTCGAGATGAGAAACATCGTGAAATATTCGAGAGGACATTTCCCGAGCTGAAGAAAGCACGTGAAGAGCGTGAACGTAACAGTCGAAACAACGGTAACGGTGACGGAAATGGGACGAGAAAAACTGAAGCTGAGGTATTTAATACGGATCAGTTTTCTTCGGTTTTAATAATTTTCGTGTTTTTCGATTTCAATTTTTTGATTTCGTCGGAAATTTCCAGTGATTCCATTCAATTTCCGTTGAGTTTGCTATTGTAGAACAGGCGATCAGTGAAATTTGATCAGTGTATTGGTGAGAGCACAATTTGAATTGTGAGCGAAAAGAACGATGTGTCCGATGAGAGTGGATCTTTGCGAATTAGTGTGAATATCGAGGAATTGTTGATTTGTTTTTCAAAAATTTGTTTGATTTGGTGTTTAATCAGGAGGAAGATGAGAAGAAACGACGTGCGGCAGCCGCACTTCCACCGATGATGTTGAGTGCTCGTGATCGGCGCGGTGTGTTCTACATCGATTTGAACGGCGTCGTACGGAATCCACTCGAAGCACACAATAATTTTGTGGAGAATTTCCTTTCAACTTGGTCCGAAGATGAGAAATTGGTTCGAATTTGTGCTATTCACAATAAGTAATGAATCCTTTCGCAGAAGAGTCCATTTCGTATCTGGGAATGAAAAGTGAAAATGATGAACTGAGAGCTGTAGTTCAGTTTGTTAGTAGCAGCTAATTAAAAGCTAACAATAGTACTAATAATAAAGTGGCGATAATAATGATAAATATTATTATTTATTTATGAAAATGCGCATCGCAACGCATGCTCATTTGTTCATCGGCAATTTGAAGCTGTTTGAAAAATTCGTAATTTTGTGATGATGGAAATTTTGATGAATTTGTGGACGGTTTGGAGGTTTGCTGTGTTCTTGACAGTGTATCTATTTGGAGAGAATGAAGTGTGGTGATGGATGGATTGTTGATGAAGAGTGAATTTCATATGCAAATTTGCAAAATTTTCAGATGTTTAAAGAGCAAATCGTTGCGTACGGAAAGAATTTCGCTGCCATTGCGGAATTTTTGGATCGGAAAACTGTGAAAGATTGTGTCTTGTATTATTATTTGTCAAAGAAACGTCAGAACTATAAAGCGCTGATGGGCAAACGTCGTCGTAAACCAGCCAAATACTACAAACCACCGGTTATGCCGAAAGCCGAAGAAGTGCTGATGCGTGCTCCACAGGATGCGGGCAGTGTGCCGTGTAAGTTAATCGATGAGATGAATCTGTTCCGGCTGATACACAAGCGATCAGTTTGTGATGTTCTTTAAGGTTTTTAACGCATAACACGTTAACTGAATTTGGGTGGTTATGATTCAACCCTAATTGTGAGAGTTAATAATTGACGGCAATTCACACGACTTATCAGAGAGCAAAATTGTTTTGGAGATAAAATGTCTAGGAGGAAGTGGATCCAGGTTTTAGTGTCGTTAAGATTTCTTGCTATCGTCTTCGTGCATCCGATCTCACTGAGGAATTTGGGTTAATTCATTTTTTAGTCATCGTTGCATGGGAAAACTTTNGTTACGTTTTAAATTGCAGTGAATGGGCCAAAAGAATACGAATGTTGTGTGTGTAATTGCAAAATTGATAATGAAACCAATCCGGGTCGTGTGCTCACGCGTGCTTCATACGAAGCACACGGCGTGGACGCGAATCAAGCGAATCCATCGGATGTTCGAATCTGTCAAAAGTGTCGAATGAAAGCAGTGAAATCAAAAAATGCAACGTAAGCGATTTGGACGCTTTGAATTTTTATCTTTATCTTTTGATTGTGCATCGCAAACGTAGGCATCAACCATGGAATCCTTTATAAACGCATGATATGAGACTGATTGCGTTTGTAACGCATGTATGGAGTTGATGTGTTGATTTTTTGGAACAAAATTGTAATAATTTGCGATTTATTCATTTTTGTATTTTTTTTAGTACCACTTCATCTTAATGCATAAATGTATAAATTTTTCTTGGTTATAAACAGCTTACTCGCTTCATTCCATAGGCATAAAGTTCGATACATTATAGAATTTCAATGATTCCATTATTTCGCAGAAACTGGTATTTTGTTGAATAGTATTGATATTGCAATGCGTTGGAATGTTGAATGTCGATTAATTTTTCATTAGTTGACTAATCGTAAGTGTAATTAATGTAAGTCGTAAGGCCTCGAAGCGAAATTTTGCAGTAGAATTTAAATGAATTGAATGCGATTTAACGATGTAATAAATTGAGTCTGTAACATTAAACAAATTAATGGTATGATTTATGATGCGATTGAACGAAAAAAAAAGAGTTGATATGTTGCAGTCGTTGTCAAGTGGGCACTTGTCATAACGCTAGACGAAAGGTGAAACCGACAAGACCGATGCCACCAAAATGGAAGTCAATGAACACCGAGCAACGAGAGTTTCTCATGCACCATATGCTCATTCCTGACGGCGTGATGAAATGCTGTCCAGCATGCCACAAGAAAATCACTAAAAAACTTGATATGGTAAGTATGATTGGTTCGTTTGAGTGTTTAATGTGGTGTTGATGTTGTTTGAGATATCGGGTGATACTAGCGATAAGACGGCTCTAATAATCATTATCAGTAGTTCGTTATCGATAAAATTCTGTTTAGTATTGTTTTTATAGCTGTTCTTGATATGCTTGCGCTTTTATCCATGTGTTTTTTGTGTTTCTTTTTTGCTATCAATGTTAGTTAGTGATTGGATAATAGCGTTGTTAATGATTAATGATGTGTGTGATTGATAAATTAGCGTAGA